TGTATATCATATTGTGGTGAAAGTATAGCACGGTACAGGAACCTGCTTAAATGTCTTTTATCCCTAAACAACTAAGAACGAAAGGGTGTTATAACGAGAACAATCATATTTCAAGGAGTAATACCATTATTACTATGAAGTTTTGCGATAGTATACAAGTAGTTACGAATATCATTGAGTATCCTCAAGTTACTCCTTTTTTAATTTTTGATACCGGATTGAAGTGGCGTAAGCCTCGGTCCCTTGTTTCTAGCGCCTTATGGGCTCATTTAAGCAGGTCATGGCTCCATGATATTTGAGCTCCTGCGGTGTCTGGATTGAAAATCGCATCACTAGGCAAGGCAGAACAAGGGCTCGTTGGGAGACCTGCAAATATGCCACGACGTGTTGGCATATTTATTAAGAAAAATGAAACCCGATCTTATGGGTTTACTAGTACAAGGCCAGTTTTTGATACCATCGCTAAGATATATAATCCTATTTAGTTTCTGATAGGGATATTCTTAAGTTACTGCACTAGCTAGTGAAATGGCGCGTGATGCACAACTGCGACACAAGTGCTCCACAAATTCTAATGATCCAATTCCATGAGCAATCCCCTGCATGGATGCATCTAAGGCAAGTAGGAGCAGCGGCATACGTACTAAAGCCTCAAAGTTCGGTGTAACAGCTAAACACTGTGAAACCAAATTGTCATACAAAAGATTCAGAAAAGTGCGGTTGATTTTCAAAGACTACTGCCCATCATGAGTCACGCAAACAGCCTTTTTGCCTCAAGACACCTCTTCGCCGCAAGAAAGTAGACGAGCTCAATGGTTTGGAGGCATGTAACGGTGATACTCCTTATATAGACAATTCGTTCTCTATCCTAAAGACAGTGTGAAGACCAGAGATGACAGTGGCTTAAGGAAGTCACATAAATGCTATTAGGGTAAACAACCGCGACATGTAATTTAATTAATAGCAGCAGCCGACTATCCTGGTCAAGATAGCTCAGTCAACATAGCGCTGAATTCACAACTGAGAGATCCTGTGGTCGAATGCTGGACGGTCACTTGGTCAGCTGACTAAAATGCGCCGTCTAACCATAGAGTATGTGAACAGGTTTCAAATTTTTGAACTGAATCACCATACATTCAAATCTATGCCAGTGTGCTCAAATAAAAGCAATAAATATGCATAATGATCTGTGAAACTTATTTCAATTCCTCCTTTTCAATAAATTGGCACTTCATTCTCCATTTTAGACACTAGGAAACCGAGATATACAGTCCCGGTTGTAAATGCTAACGGTACAGCCAAATTACCCTGTTAAATAAACACTTCCGTACGTATGTTTCTTTGCGTCCAAAACAAAAGCAGTGGTAATTTATTAACAATGCAGAAATTTCGACGTTGACATCATGTCATATCATGTGCTACGCTTAAAACTAAGCATTAACACACTATCTGGTGGTTTTATGGTAAATATGAAACTTTCGACGCTACTGCAGCGAGAAGAGATTCTACCGTTGCCTTAAATCGATTGATCGTCGCCTGCCTTTCATCAAAAAGCACGTACTTTGGTCGAGTCATAAGCTCTTGGTGGTGTCAAAAACAGGTATTATAGAATGCGCTGCAAATGTCATAATGCCATTAAGCTGTGGTTAACTTAAATAATCCCTTAGGCCTGAATCAGCAAGAGAAATGGTGTGATACCTTGCATGAGTCATTCTTTTCGACAGATTTGGCACCAATCAATTCTGGTTTGCTGCAAAACGTAAGTTCTGTTAAGATTTTTGAAAATTCCAATAATTTTATTTAATACGCTAAAGCGTCCCAGGTAGCGTTTAATTTCTGTCATGATGACAGCGTATAGCTTTACAGTGACTATCACGAGAAATATAATTCAAAAAAGTACCTTTGAGAAAGTAGCTTGTGGACTCAGACAAATGAGTACGAACAATATCGTGAAACGAACATTTGCGGTCAGGGTTCAGCAGCCATGCAGCGGTCTCCAAGCAGAATATTCTCGAAAGAGGGATGTGTTCTAGGCAGTTCATCGCAAGAGAAAACAGATGATTCGCACTTCTGGTCACCAATGCAAAGTCCTCATTGGAAGAGAGTGCCTGAAAGATTCCAGTCGCCGACCACCAACGACTCGTGCCATCAGGAACAGAGGTTTCTGAAAGATATATGGTAAAAAACAGATAAATGAACCTAATAATAAGCAGACGCCTTCTACGGTAAAATTTTGTTACGTGGAAAAATTTCGACTAGAAAATGTGGGATGACTTATAACTTGAGACCGAAGT